AAATATAAAAAGTGGGGGGGGGGATACCAAAATAAATTTGTTTGCAAATTTTGTTTTTGAAATTGTTTGTTGAAGGTGTAGCTGTTCAGACGGCAGAATGCAATAAGAAAAGTACCTTTTTGTGGCGAGTATTTTGTAGTGTGTATGTGTGACTTTAATTAAGTTCTTCCTAATAAATGAAACGTTTTGACTTTTGGCACTATTCATCTAATTTACTTTGACTTATGTTTGTGATTTATACATACGAATAAATATAGTCTTGTCACTCTTGTGGGTACTTGTTGGAATGATCTAAATGAATAGTTTATTAATATTCAATTGTTATAATTTTTTATATATTGATAATTAAAGATATTATCAGAAAAAGTGTTGCATTGACATAGAAACGTTTTAATTATTTAAACATGGAGAGTGTATTATTTATGTAACATTATCACTTTACAATCACCACATTAATTAATCACTCTGATAATTGACACTAAAAACCAATAATAAACTATTTGACTTTATAATTGTGATTATAATTAAAAGTAATAATGACAACAAACTATTTGACTCTTTAGGCTTGATTTTAATTGTCGCTATAAATTCTCAATGATGTAGGTTTTCTTAGTAATTGTGTTATTTTATTAACTAATTAGTTTCTGGCTCAGACAATGTTTCTAGTTGTTATTTAAATAACATATCATATTCTTTACACATGTTAGATACGAGTTACACGTGTTTACGTTAAATATAAGTGGTTAGGTCCTAGACCTATGCGAGATGGTGGGATAGGTGGAATACAGTGGTTGTGGCTCCTATTAGGGTGATGTTAGTCCATTTGACAATCAAAGTGATAAAATAGATGAATGGAGGTAATTCGATAGATCTTGTACTAGTGAAAAGGGTTAGATTTATCTTTTTAACATTATCTTTCCCTCTTCCTTAATAAAACGTGTATTAATTAAAATGATGCAATTATTATGAAAGAGATTAAGTAGTTGCATAATTGTGTATTTGAATGGGATTCTAGTAAAGAATTGCTTGCTACTTTTAGGCGTTGTTTAGTTGCCTTTAGTTTTCATGGGCACTCAAAATTCCCATGAATTTCCTTTCAGGTATATTGTTTGGTTGACATTAAAAAGCAAAAATGGTTGAAGTCATAATTCATGGGATTTTTCACTTCCCATAAAACATGAAAAGTTACTTACCCACCCCTCCTTTGGTCATTCACAATTTCTAAGATTTACGAATTCTCACATGACAACCAAATATATTTATGTAATTCCTAGAAATTTTGATAAAGGAAGTAATTTTCCATGAGAATTTACTTGCTACATCAACCAAACAAGGCCTTACTCATTTATTCTTTGAAGGTTGAATTTTGTTTTGGTGAAAATAAGAGAAGAGTGCAACCTAACACGTGGCAATCATGTGAATACACAATATGTAAACAATGGACAAATTGCAGAGCTCACGCAGTACCTCTACTAACGTGGCCAAATATCAACCATCCCAAACTAAGGAAATCTAGCAACGTACACTTTTCTACAACACATCACCAAAATCTCCCAAATCAATCCTCACCCTCCATTTCCCTCAATCCAACGGTCCTCGACCCCACTTATATCCCAACCATATCCTAATATCAGAAAAATATCACTAGTAATACAAAATTAAAAATAAAATAAAAATAAATAAAAACTTCAAGTTTGTTTGATCTCTCACTCTCTCTCCAACCCAATGGCTTCCTCTATGGCTTTCAAGCCCTTCACCGGCCTCCGCCAATCAACACCTTCCACCACCCATGAAACCACCTCCTTCAAATCCATCAAGATTTCCCCTAAAATCAAGGCCAGCATCACTAGCCCCAAGGTAATATCGTCATTTCTCTTAGTCACGTATACTGTTTTAGAATGTTTAAAAGTTGTCACATTTCCACAGTAGTAGTAGACTATGCAATTCCATATCATCTACTGTAGCAAATTAATTTAATCACTGATTGTTATGTACATGATCGGTTTAATTTAGTCTAAATGAACATAATTCTTACATGTAAAATATCGTACATATGCTCTCAGTCTTTGCTAATGTGTTGTCGAGAATCTTTTGACTAATGGGTTAGCACTAAAACAGCTGACAGGGCGCAACCTGCGGGTGGCGGTGATAGGCGGTGGACCAGCCGGAGGCTGTGCAGCGGAGACGCTAGCAAAAGGAGGGATCGAGACGTTCTTAATCGAACGAAAGATGGACAACTGCAAGCCATGTGGTGGAGCAATACCATTATGTATGGTAGGAGAATTCGACCTACCATTAGACATAATAGACAGAAAGGTGACAAAAATGAAGATGATTTCACCCTCAAATGTGGCAGTCGACATTGGTCGTACCCTTAAGCCGCACGAGTACATTGGTATGGTGCGGCGAGAGGTTCTTGATGCTTACCTTCGTGAGAGGGCGACCGAGTCCGGTGCCACGGTAATCAATGGTTTGTTCTTGAAAATGGATATGCCAAAGTCGTCGGATGCTCCTTACCAGCTGCACTACACGGCTTATGATGGTAAGACTGGTGGAGCTGGTGAGAAGCGGACTTTGGAAGTGGATGCTGTCATTGGTGCTGATGGGGCTAATTCCAGGGTTGCTAAGTCTATTTCTGCTGGTGATTATGAGTATGCTATTGCCTTTCAGGTACTACTCTACTACTTTCAATTCTTATCGTATTCACTTTTATTGGATTATCTCGGATTTCACCTGAAATCACTTGACCAGATAATGGATTATTTCTTAGTTGTTGGCATTTTTGTTTGTTGCTACTTACTAAGGCCTAACCCTTTGGTTAAAATATGCATTTAAAAATTACTATGTACTTGATTAGTTGTTGGTGGATGATAATTATGGATAATCTACCCGTGATAATTTGGATAAGTATCATGTTGTCGTGATCAATTTGGCTTACCAATTGCATTTGATGTCCATTTATTGAACAAGAAAATGTGATTAGTTATCCCCCAATAAAGTGGAAATTAATTAGGTATCATAGATTACCATTGACTAAAATGCTGTTCTTTCAGGATTTTCACATCATAGAAACAATTATCTGAACTAAATAGCTTAGATTGATTATAGAAAGTGGTAATTTACTAATTTGATGGAGTAATGATCTTAAACTCACAACAAGAAGAGATATCTCGGACCCTAAACTTCAATTCCTTAGTTATGATGTAAGGGTTCTGTTTGGACAGTTTGTTGTCCCGTCTAATTGATTACAAAATGCAAATACAATAGCATGTACTTCGTATAAACTTTCTAAGACAAATTTGACTTATATACGATTTCATCATTTTCAGGAACGTATCCGGATACCCGACTCAAAGATGACCTATTATGAGGATCTAGCTGAAATGTATGTAGGGGATGATGTCTCACCAGACTTCTATGGTTGGGTATTCCCCAAGTGTGACCACGTAGCAGTCGGCACAGGGACTGTGACCCACAAGTCAGACATCAAGAAGTTCCAATCAGCAACAAGAACACGAGCCATGGACAAGATTGAGGGGGGCAAGATCATCCGAGTGGAAGCTCACCCCATCCCTGAGCACCCTCGCCCAAAACGTGTTCAAGGGCGAGTAGCATTGGTTGGGGATGCTGCTGGGTACGTGACGAAGTGTTCAGGTGAGGGGATATACTTTGCAGCCAAGAGCGGGAGGATGTGTGCAGAGGCAATTGTGGAGGGTTCTGAGAATGGAAAGAGATTGGTAGATGAAGGGGACTTGAGAAAGTACTTGCAGAAGTGGGACAAGAAGTACTGGCCTACATACAAGGTGTTGGATGTGCTGCAGAAGGTGTTTTACCGCTCCAATCCTGCTAGGGAAGCGTTTGTGGAGATGTGTGCGGATGAATATGTCCAGAAGATGACTTTTGACAGTTACTTGTATAAGACTGTGGTTCCTGGGAATCCACTGGATGACTTGAAGCTTGCAGTGAGGACAGTAGGGAGTTTGGTGAGAGCGTATGGTTTGAGAAGAGAGATGGAGAAGATTGATGCTTGAGAGCCGTGATATTATTCTGATATCAACTGCACTCTTGATATTTTCGGTCTGGGGTGTTTCAAAAACTTGTAATGTAAGTAGAGAAATCTGGTTTAATAGGATAATTCGAGGCTGAATTTGTAATGAATTATGTATATTTTGCATTTTCAACTTTTGATATTGCTTTACTTCAACTGTAAATCTGTCACTGTGACATTCAAAACCCTTTGTATCCCTCTGTTGGACCCAATCTTTGTAGGGAATTGAATGATGCAGGAGATTATCATTCATGGCATCTATCAATATAAGTTGCTTTGACATCCAAGCATAGGCTGGTTTTGTTACTCGAGTAATTATGTAAGACGAGGATGATCCTCAGAAGTCTGATCAGTATGAAACATGTAACATTATGGTACTTGTCTGGATCATCGCATGATGGATCCCTCTTCGATTCCATTCAAATATATGTGACTCCATATGTATAAGAGCAATGCTCGTGAAAATTGGTCTCACTTAGAACACAAACTTTCTTTAGCTAACAGTAGTAAAGTGAACAAGGTTACTATACTCTCATTACCATGTAGGAAGGTGTCGCCTCCACACGTCGTGCCTCAGCAAGTCTTGACCATTATGTGTAGTAATGAACATATAAACAATGTACAATGGTTACATAAGAAGAAACACCAAGGATGTGCTCAACAGGAGATATAACCAGCGGCTTAAAGGGATTTAGCGTAGAGTTAGATATGATTGTACTGCATCAGTTTGTTGTCAATTCTCGACTTGAAATTAATTTGGAAAATATATTACTTACATCATTAATAAATTCTTAGGCCTATGGCTAGTAAATTGCCATGTAAAATTTTTGATTAATTTCTATTTTTTGTGGTCAACATACAATGAGATAGGATAAGATGGTGTTGATAAGCACTTTTTAATACTCCTTAGTCCTTACATACATAGCTGGCTAACAAGAGAGGTGAGGCTAGCTTAAAAATCCGAGTGGAGGAGTTTGTGTTAATTGCGTATATTTTCAAAATATCAAATTTAGCTATTTGTATTAAGAGATATAATAAAGTGTTAAAATTATGCACTAATAAGTAAGAAAGTCTAAATGTTACAGCTAAAAGTGAGCAGAAGAAGTATGAGTTATCTTGCTTGATCCCATATTCGATCCGACCTCTTCATCCACTTTGAATCCGGGCAAATATATTTTGGGCGAGCTCTACCCAATATATTGGCCCAATAGGCTGTATAACAACATTGAAGACATTAACTTGTTATTATTGAAAGAGACTTTATAGACTCAATAGGAGCAGGGCTGGGCTGGGTAGTGGGTACTGAACTACTGAAGCTAACAATATATGATTATGGTCTATGTTAATCATTGCTATTTCACGGTATCAACGAACAGAGAATTTCATTCACATATCATAATAATAATCATATAAAAAAATATATAATAAAGTTTAGACACTGGTAGATGTAGATAGCTGAAAAAGGCCAAAAAAACAGAGGTGTGTAGTTGCTCATCTTGCTGCCTGTTTGTTGCTCCAACTCCAACCGCTCGAATACTAAGGCCTTGCCTACAGTTTGCCTTTACCAGGTTTCTCTCTCTCTCTCTCTCTTCTTTTAACTTCATTATCAGTCGATTTTCATGAGCTGTAATTTGCATAAAATAGTACTGCAATTTGTATTCAGAAAAGATACTAGTATTTAGACTAGTTAGTACTAGTATTGATATGGGAAACTAACAAGTTTATTGCTTAAGAAGTTTAAAGTGACTTAAAATAATACCTTGCTGCATTAATAGATTATACAAAATGAGGAAGTTCAAGGTAGTACTGTACCAATAGCAACCAAGTAATCGATTTGCTGTCATAAACAGTTTTCACAGTTTCTAAGATAATATGATCAATACTGCTTCTAATTTTGTGCCAATATGTGGGTCTTATTGGTTCTGTAGGACTCCAGAATGGCAGTAAGAGCAGCAGCGACCTATTCGATTGCATCCCCGTATGTCAATCCTAAACCCAACCTTCCTCATCAGATAAAACCGGCAACTATAACTGTAAATTCCCAATACCCTCTCAGAGGTTTCAGTGGCCTCAAGGCTGCTGCTGATGTAACTTGTGAATCAGAAACTTCTTTCTTAGGAAGGGAAAGTAATGCAGCTCTAGTACGAACTTTTGCACCAAGAACTCAAAATTACTGTAAGAATTACCAACATCACTTAAACCCTCAAGCATCGTATTACAAAGTGGCTATCCTAGGTGCTGCAGGAGGAATTGGACAGCCTCTCTCGCTTCTGGTCAAAATGTCTCCCTTAATTTCGGACATAAATCTTTATGATATAGCCAATGTAAAAGGAATTACAGCAGATCTTGCTCACTGCAACACACCAGCTAAAGTGATCGGTTTTACTGGGACTTCTGAGCTTGCTGACTCTTTGAAGGGTGTGGATGTTGTAGTCATCCCTGCAGGAGTCCCACGGAAACCTGGTATGACTCGGGATGACCTCTTCAACACAAATGCCAGTATTGTCAAGAGTTTGATCGAGGCTGTTGCTGATAACTGCCCTCAAGCATTCATCCACATAATAACTAACCCAGTGAACTCCATGGTTCCCATAGCAGCAGAAGTGCTGAAGCAGAAGGGAGTTTATGACCCGAAGAAGCTCTTTGGAGTTACCACATTGGATGTTGTTAGAGCAAACACATTTGTTGCTAAAAAGAAAAACTTGAAGCTGATTGATGTTGATGTTCCCGTGGTGGGAGGGCATGCCGGGATTACTATTTTGCCCCTCCTGTCAAAAACAAGGCCATCAATGAGTTTCACCGATGAAGAAGTGCAAGAATTGACTCAGAGAATCCAAGATGCGGGGACAGAAGTGGTGGAGGCGAAGGTTGGAGAAGGTTCTGCTACACTGTCAATGGCATATGCTGCTGCGAGATTTGTGGAGTCATCTCTGAGGGCTTTGGATGGAGATGCAGATGTTTATGAGTGTGCTTACGTAGAGTCAAATTTGACTGAGCTTCCATTCTTTGCCTCACGGATCAAGCTTGGGAGGAAAGGTGTTGAGGCTTTTATTCCCTCAGAGTTGCAGGGATTGACTGAGTTTGAAGCCAAGGCGTTGGAGGCTCTGAAGCCTGAACTCAAGGCAAGTATTGATAAAGGGGTGGCTTTTGTCCACAAGCAACCTGTAGCTGCATAAACTTGAGGAATTAACACGATAATTCATGTGTGTAATTCTGACTCTTACAATTGTGTATGCTTATCAGTCTGCAGTTCACACAGTCCACCACACTAATTTTCAAGAGAAGTAAATAAAACATGCAGCACTTGGTACTTGTGCAAGGCTAAGAATGGCAAGAGGCTTCATTTGGTTAAAAAATTCTCATTTTTAAGAATGATCTGTTTGATTTTCAGGTTCTTATTTTTGAGAAATATTTTCCTGTAAATATTAGTTGTCCCTGCAATTAACAGACTAGTTCCCATGAATAGAATTGGCACATATGAGGTATCAAACATATAGATAAAAGTCATCAAACAAAGTGCACAAACAGCTGCAATTCATATAGTTTCTCTTCTGGAATATGTGCTTCTCAAGTTCGTAAGAATCCTAAAAATATCATAGGATTGAAAAATACTCCATGACAGCACACAGCTACCAATTATACATCAACATAAGAAAAGTTGTATGTGTCAGCAAAATGGCTATAATTCGGAGTGTTAATTTACTAGTATGTTTCAAGTATTTTCCTCAAGATCTTGTACTTCAAGATTATTAGCTGATTCTGGAAGTAAATCATATATCTGCTCCATTACATCATAACCTTTTCGATTTTTTTTTTAATCAAAACCTATCATACAGCTCAGTTCCAACTTCATTTATCAAGCTCTTGAATCACGATTGACAAAGACCTGAAGCTCATATAGTCATACATATATGCACTTGGAAAAGTTTTTAATCTTGAATCTTACATCTACCATCTTCTGCGTAATCCCTTATTATCTTCCTTGGTCCAAAAGGTGCCAGACAAAAGGCTTGTAGTCATTAATCTGAGTGACTGTATATTCGGCCATAACATTGATGGCGATGTTCCTCAAACTCTTCAATTTCACCTCAATTTCTAGACAGGCCTTTCGACATGGATATGGACACTTGACATTTTATTTTGGACCAAAATCATGGAATATAATCATTAAATATCCAAGCCCACCACTGGGACATGTATCTGTGTCCAACAAGAGTGCCTGAGTCCGAGTAACGTAGTTGCCTAGCATAACTACCAGCAGTAATCACAGGAACATTTTCCTTCTCTAAAATGGTGAATCCTATTTGGATCACTGATTATCAGTTTTCGATTATAAACAGCAGAAAAAACCTTAGCAAAGTTATGGCAATCATCACAAATCTGAGCACTGTTGGCAACTCTAATTGTAGTGCTAGGGGGAGTAGAGAGGACCCCAAAAGCAATAGCTAGCTTTTCACTATGAGAAGAGGCTGCAGTTTCCTTCTCAATCAAATCTAAGTCATGTAATTCTGATGATGCTTCTGGCACATATCCAGCAATCTTCAATTGTTGCAAGATTTCATTGAGCATTTCATATATCTCATCCTTGCGTGGATGTGAAACATTGCCAACAACAAACTTATGCACCATTCCTTTTACCTCAATCGTACTAGACCCTGTTGTAAGAATTCCTTGTTCTTCCATAAATTTCCTTAGTTCTCTCACTTTATTCCATTTGCCATTTGAAGAATAAGTATTCAACAACAGAATATAATTTCCTGCCTCTTGGGCCTTAAGTTCCGTTATATGCTCAATCACTCGCTCTGCCAGGCCAAAATTCTTGTGCATTCTACAAGCCATGAGCAAGGTCCTCCAAACTTTTATATCCGGTTTATCTTTCATGGATATAATAAGATCATATGCTTGGTCAAGTGAGCCAGCACGACCTAATATATCAACAACACACCCATAATGATGGATATTTGGATGTATCCCAAACTCCTGAGTCATCTTCTCAAAAATCAGCAAACCCTCATCCAGCAACCCTCTATGACTGCAGGCATATAATACCGCGGTAATAGCCTTAGCATCAGGGGCAATGCCCATCCTATGCATCTCCCAAAACAGTTCAACGGCATGTTTTCCATACCCATTGATCCCAAAGCCTGATATCATTGAACTCCACGAGACCAAGTTCTTTGTAGGCATTCTTTCAAAGATTCGATATGCGTCATCCACACATCCGCATTTCGAATACATGGCAATAAGAGCATTACTTAGCCTCATCGACGTACCATAACCATGTTTCTCCATGTAATTCACTACACACCTACCAAAATCTAGCGCGCCTAATTCACCACAAGCTTGAATCAATAGCAAGCAAGTAACTTCATCAGGTCTACAATCTCTTTCCAGAGTCAGCATAGATTTATACACAGACAAAGCATCTCTAGTCCTCTTATTATTCACAAAACAAGAAATCAAAGCATTATAAGCAACAGTATCTCTGTGAGGCATATTATCAAACACCTTACATGCATCATCACACCGCCTACAACCCGAATACAACTCCATCAAAGAAGTCATCAAAACACAATCTCTCTCATACCCATCAACCAAAACACTCTTATGAATCTGCATTCCCTCAATCAAAGCAGAATTCTCAGTACAACAATCAAGACAAAACGATAGGGTGAGATGATTCGATTCAACACCTTCCCGCTTCATCATCCGATAAAACTTAACCCCATCAGAAGGGATTCCACTACAAGAAAAAGCCCTAATCATGGTATTATAATGCAAAGAAGTAGGCATTACAATCTGGTTGAAAATTCGAAAGAGGTAAACAACATTCTGAGGGCATATTCTGACTGCTCGAGCAAGGAACTTGAGAGAAAGACGAGGATGTTGAATAAGATCAGTGTAGACGAATTGGGTATGGAGTTGAAGGAAATGGGTATGAGTAGAACAAGATTGTAGGAGAGAAAACAGGTGTTCTCTTCTTTGGAGGTGTGATTCTAGGGTTTGCCGCCATTGATGATGTTTTTGAAATCTGGGTTTTTGAGGAATAAAGTTGGAAAGAGTTGCAGAGTCGTCTTCTTCGAGAAGAGAGAGAGAAGAGGAAGATGAAGAGAAGAGACGAAGGAAGAAAATGGAGGTGGCGGAAGAAGGACGACGGAGGAGGGAAGTTGGGGTCGTAGGCATAGATGCTGGGATAGTCGACTGGACTTCCCGCCTAAACTTGGTGAGTTTGCAACTTTGCACAAATGTTTGTCATTCTAAACAACTCTATATTCAATATTCTAAACAATGTCACATTTTTAATTTATGAGAAATTTTTCGTACAATATTTAAACTTATACTGCGTATAGATAGACGAGAAGATTATAATATACTATTCAAATTAGTAAAGGGCAATTGATCTCAGATCTTAATTATTAATTTTAAAACTTTAACCAACTAAGCTAGTTGACATCTACACTAAAAAAAAATGGTCTTTTTTATTTATGTTTTCTTGTAGCACCAAAACTTTATGCTTTGAAAGTCATGAGCATGGTTGTTTATTCAAAACCTAGCTTAAGACTTTACCCTGTCAAAAACTCTTCAAGATTAGGGATAAAATCAACCTAAACCTAGATAGCAGCTAAAGTATTGTACTTGTAGAAATTGTACTTGTATGTCATTTCTTTTGTTCTTAAATATTGCAAACGAACAATTGACTTAATATATAGCTTCTTAATGAAATTTTAAAATTCTATAATATTTACAAAAAATTTCAGTTGGATTCTTAGTTATTTATTTATTTTTAAAAAATAAGAAAAATAATCATATGGATGCCTAGTTATTGGTGATAGAGTATAAAACATATTCCTAGGCCACCTTAAATTTAAGCTTTTGGTTGAGTTGGTCCTTTAACATGGTATCAAAGAGCCAGTGAAATATTAAGCGCAGAATATGAGGTGGGCCTATGCTGCATCCTCACTTCAAATGTTATATATAGTTGAATATGGTTAGATCTACTATATGTCATTTTATATGGAGATTTAACACACAACAATAAAATTATAAATACTAACTTGTTCTTGATCAATCTCCTTATGTATGCACATTGTCATTGATTTTGATAAATTATTTGTCTTATATTTCTTGCTAGGTAGTAGATATTAATACGTACATATGCAGGTTCTTATTGCTAGTAATAAGAAAAACGTCTAAACAAAAACTACATCAGTTAAACCATTCTTCTTTAGTTATGCTGATGTCAAAAAAAAAAAAAAAACATTCTTCTTTTCTTCCATCTAAATTAAGGTAAACTAAACAAAAGTTGCAACAGAGTTGCAAGATGTAACTCTAATTAATTATTACCCCCCCTAAAACTAAACTTATATCACCATGAACAAATTGATCATGAGCAAAAGTAAGAAAAGTTCACGTCATCCATAGCATCAACATCATCTCCATATTGCTCATCATCACCATTGCTAGTCCCAAAATTCGCGTAATCGGTGGAGTTGCTAGCAGAAGAAGAAGAAGATTGGGAGCTTACATCGTAATTCAAGTTGTTGATCATCTTTCTTTTCTTGTAATTTGCCTTAAAGCAAGCTTGCCTTAGTCTCTTTGTTCTTGTTTCAAGTTGTAGGTCAGGCATTTCTTCCATCAATTTCTTTTCTTGCTCTAGAATTTGTATGGCTTCTCTTAGCTTTGCTTCGTTTTTATCTCCTCCCTCCTTTCCCATCTCCTGCACGTATATATTCATGGCGCAATTAAATCAATAAAATATATTGTGACATCCTACACATCATATATGACTGATATTAACCAATAATATGACAACTAAATTCAACTGAAGACTGTACAAAGTTGCAAATAAAGTTGTCCGATTAAGAAAAATGTCATCATATCTAATTTAGAATCCTTTTATATTGTCATCTTTAAAAATTTAAACATTTTTTTAACACCTATATCGGTATAGTTTTAAATGCAACCTAAAGCACTTAGTGTCACAAGTTGCATTATGCATGATCACTTAACTCTTGTTAATGGACCTTGTTAATATTCACGAGATATTAGGAAATTGTACGTAAAATTAATGTGATAATTAATAAAATGATAAACATGATTAAATTACCTAGCAACAAATAAAAATTAATTACCTGAACATTCCTGATTAATGTTTGGAGGCTCATGAGCTTCCTATGAGGCCATCTTTGAATGCCCAACTCTCTGCATCTTTTCTTGAGCAAAGTTAAGCCAACGTTGAGTTCTTTAGCTGCCCTAGTTATTGGCATGTAAAAATACTGGCTAATTATCTCCTTTGAAAGTGCCTTAGACGAACAATGATTATTATTGTTGTTAGTTTCTTGTTCTTCAGGTGATCTTAACTCATTAATCTTGTTTTCATGGAGATTATCCTTTCTATAATCAGATTCATCATGGCACAACGCCAATGGCGGCGGCATGTTCTCCAATTCCAAGTCCTGCAACCCCTCAAATCCATGTCCATAGCCATCGTACATGGTGCTATTATCTGCATGATTTTTTTTTTTTTTGTTTAATAAGCAAACTGACCAAGTAATAGTTACGTACGTTATATTTCATACTAAGATCCATACTTGTGATTTTTTTTTTTTTGTCAAAAATAAAAATTTTATGCTCGTATGTATATTAACATGCGATGAGTTTATTTTCTTCACAAACACATATAGAAAATTAACTTGCGATGAGGTTATTTTCTTCAAAAACACAAATAGAAAGTCAGAAACTACTCCGTAGTAAAATAATATGATAATCAAGCTAAACAATTAATTTTATGTTTGGCCAAAAAGTAATAAGCCCTTTTTTTTCATTGATAGGTTGAAAGAAAATCGCACGTTTTATTACTGTAAACATGATTTCTTTGCTTAATTCATCACAAACAAAATTTCCATCTTATAGTACTTTTTATTAATGATCAAGCAGGAGCACTTAGGAGTATAATGTACATGTTTTTGTATGAAATTAATAAAACACCACTTCCAATAATCTTGGATACTACTCGAATATAAACACAAATGCATAAGTATATGCAAAATTTTATTAAAAAGTAATAAAAAAAAAAAAAAAAAACTTGTAAATTACTATATACATAAATTAAACAAGAAGATTACCTTCAATAACATGTGGAATAGTGAAGTTTGACACAATATCAAGTGATGTAAAGAAAGGATAAGTAGGATCATTTGGAAAACATTCTATCAGTGGCGTTGCATCCATCATGCTCACATCCAAGGGAAGCTCGTATTGCCAATCACATGGAATATTATATCCACTTTACCCTCAAAAAAATAAAAGTTCGTTATTATCCAAATCATACAAATGCAATTTATAAAATAAATTGAATAGAGAACCTCTAAGTTTATAACAGTGATATGAAAAATAAAGGCCCCAAAAAACCAAAAGTTAAATTGTGCTCGACGTGCTTAATCAAATATAAAGAAAAAAAAAGATAAATATCCCCAAAATTGTTGAATCATGTGTTCTAAGCATATCACAATTATAAATTGTGCACCTTACTATTGATGACATATTTACATGTTAATTACGTACTTAGACCAAAAAAAATCAAGTAATCCTTACTTGGGATCAAGATATTGATGAGATTGAAGAGAGTGAAGTTCGTCATTCTTTGGAAGAGACCAACGTGGAAGATTATGGCTCCACATAAGGAAAAGGGAGAGAAGAATAATGTAAAAAAAGGCTTTGAAGGGTCGTAATACACGAGTTTGATCATTTTAGAAGTATATATATTTATACTAATGTTCATAGAAATACTAAATGAAGAGGGAATATAAAGAGATTTTTGTTAATTGTTACATTTAATTTATTTGACGGCATATGATGGTTTTTACCACATTAAGTTATGTAATTATTAGTGGTGTTACTCATTATTGGATCGTAGCAAGTGTGATTAATTAATTATTAGTGTACATAAATTACATATTCCATATTTCCATATACTTCGGTACTTCTTTATCTCTACGTATTAGGCTCTCACAATTTTGGAGCTTGAACTTTGATCTCCAAATATATTTGTTCTATGAATGAGCATTTTCTAAAAAATTACTCCGGTATGTATTTTTTTTTGAGTAATTTTAACATTTAGGTATAAGATAGTGCTAAGTATTCTGTTACTACAATTTTAACATTTAGGTATACGATATATCGATTATATCCGATCTATTGTTTAGCAGTAGATCGAGACACGAAGTCCATTATTTATAATTCACACATTCAATCTTTATACTACTCGGACGTAGATAGTTCACACTCTACTCTATGTAGGCACATGTTCCAAAGCTTACATTTTACAAGAGTATATAATTGTTTATCTAAAAATACAAATTATAATTACAACTGTAATTATACACTAGGATAAGAGGATAAGATATAATTTCCCCAAATAGAAGAGTTGTTTCCTCTAGGGTGTTTTCCTAGTTTTGGCTAGGGTATTCCCAGTATTTGGGGTTTTCTTTCAATCTTTCCCCTTTTCCCTTTTTTTCTCCTTCATCCTTCTCTCCTTGATCTCCCTCGTGAATATTGGTAGGGGCTACCACTAATTCCTTGATCGGTGGTAAGCCCCAAAATCCCTTTTTAATCGCTTATAATTATAGATCTCATCCTTACGATGGTCTTGATCGGTGTAGATGATTTCACTTTTGCCATCGGAAGTTCTAATTTGTTAGTGGTGGTTCGTGCAGCGTTGAATCAGTTGTCAGATCAACGACTATAATTGATTGAATTAGTTTCTATTCAATTCAAAAACTACCAAAGATCGCAAGGCCCCCTTGTAAAAGAAGGCTGTAGAGGATAGCGATTCAAGAGACGAGGGTATTCATCAATGTCAATTCTCACTCGCGATCGTAGTTTTATAGAATTACAATTGTTATTTGATTCAATTTACATTGTATTAATTGCTTCTGATCACTTTTGTAGATGTCGTATAGCTTCTTATTAATTAAAAAAAAAAAAAAAACTAGGATAAGAGTATATATATACATGTACTTTTTAGTTTAGGCCCCGTTCATTTAACCTTATTTTTGCTGAATTAAAATTATTTTTACTGTACTGAAATTATTTTTACTAAACTGAAATTATTTTTGCTGAAGTTAAATTAAATTTACTGAACTAAAATTATTTTTACTAATTATCTATTATATTTCTTCTTGAAAGTTACTGATTTTTACTGAACTGAAATTATTTTTACTGAATTAAATTATTTTTACTGAACTAAAATTATTTTTATTGAAGTGAAATTATGTTTGCTGAATATTATTATCTCAACGTGAAGTGAATTACATGGCCTTAGTGATGGATTAAATTTGGGAGTACTTACAAGAGTAAAGTTGGAAAAGGATACTTATTTCTTGAAAATGTAATATGATACTCAGATAATTATTGTTTGGGTCCAATTTAGTCCAATTGGGTCTAGGCATTAAATGATCCAATTAAAAGCCCAAGGTCAAGGTTCAACTCTCCAATTGTGCTAAAGTCAAAGGTCAGCCCTCAAAGCAAGCCAATTGGGCTAAGGCCCAACCTCTCCATGTATGAAGAGGTATAAAAGCCATCAATATTCATACATTCATTGATTCATAGATTCACAGATTCATATATTCTCATATTCATAGATTCACAAATTTATACATTCTCATACATTCTCATATATTCTCATATATTCAAGCAAAGCCTCAAGCAACTAATTCTCTTGCATAGTGTTCTCTTTCTACACATTGTACTGACTTTAGCATCGGAGGGGCCTTCCTCGGCAACACCCCCGAGGCTATTTTACGTGTGTTTACTGCGCAGGAAACCTTCGGCCCAGCATAACTTGGACCGAATCCAGTCTTCTCCGTTTCAGCGGACCTTCGGCAAGGTCCCATTGTTTTCACCCGAAACAATTTGGCGCCGTCTGTGGGGAAGACTTTCAAAAATCTTTAAGCCAAATTTCTAACCAAGATCATCTTGCAATTATCTTAGTAGCAATGGCTAAGAACCGCAAGAGCAAAAGCCTCCGTCAAGGAGCGGGCGAAAAGCCTAAAACCCCTACACCATCACCCTCGCCGGACCGGAACTCTCCCAAGGGTGCCAGTTCGGGGGGAGGATCATACAAGGAGGATTCCCTTTCTCCCGTAATTCATGACTCTCATTATAGGCCGAGTCACTCTCGGTCTAGCAGGGGTGAGTCCGATCATAGGACACATTCAGTGCCCCAAAGCCAACCATCGACTGCGCGCCCTCATTCCCACACTCGGACGAGGACCCCTTTGACGGGGCCCAGCTCGGAAGAGGTGGCAAGAGCGCTGGCAGTGCTCATGGAGGCGATGAGGGCACAAAATATGCCACCACCTCGTGATCGAACTCCTCCGCATACCCGGCATCAGCGGAGGAAGTTAGACCATGATGGTGGGAAGCTTCCTTCCTTCCGGGAACTGGAAGAGTGGGAAGAGGATTCTTGGAAAAATGAAAAAGAGAGGAAAAAGAACCCTCAATTTTTAAAAGGATCCTCATTCTCAAGACCAGAAGCGCATAAGAGCAGCAGCTCAGCTTCTCGGCCAGAATCTACTCACCGAGAACCTGAGACTGTTCGCCGAAGCGTCCTTGACCGACTCGGCGACAAGGAACCGAGCGTGCGCAGTCGCCTCTCGTTCCCTGCAGCCGAGGCCCTGACTTCCCAGCCAGGGACGAAAACCACTCCTACCTCTCTAAGAGGGCGGAGCGCGGTCCCTTCGGCCAGGAACAAGGGCAAGGCCGTTATGCTACCCGCCAGTTCACCATTCGAGCAATGGATACTGGAAGAGCGCGTACCCACGGTTAAAATACCGTCGCACATCACATATGACGGGACCTCGGATCCGAAGGATCACGTGGCCTCGTATGAGACTCATATGCATCTTTGCCCCAGATCCGAGGCGACTTGGTGCAAATATTTCCCAACCACTCTCGAGGGGGTCGCGCAAGCGTGGATCTCCAAGGGAGTAAGGCAAGGCTCCATAACAGGGTGGGATGATCTGTCCTCCAAGTTTAGGAGCAAGTTTTCCACGGCAAACCGCCGAGAGAAGACTACTGCAGAGCTCATGAGTCTACAACAGGGGGAAACCGAAAGCCTCCGAGACTATCTGACCCGTTTCAGTAACGAGTCATCCAGCGTCTCTCAGCTGGACCATGGGCTAGCCGTTTTTGCAATGCAGAATGGCCTTCAGCCCGGAAAGTTCCTAGACTTCATGGTCATGCATACCCCGCAAACCTTGGAGGAAGCTCTGAATGCCTCGGATAAGTTCATCCGAGCCGAAGAATGGAACAAAGCGAAAACCCAACCTCAATTTGGGGGAGGGAAACAAAGACAAATACCCTTGTCTGAAGGCCAAGGCCATAAGGCAAAGGGAAAGTCAAAGGCCTCGGAGCAATCTTTGGCCAGCGACCCAAAGAAGGAAAGATCTGCCTCATACACAGGCAGATACGAGTCCTACACTCCGCTCTCTCT